CCAATTGGTCCAATGCATGTCTATCTCGATTAAGAACAATCAAATATTTAAAAAAAACTATTAATTTGCGACGGAAATGAAGTTGACATTGGAAATGAAGTTGATATTCGAGTTCAGCACAACATCAGTAGAAAATGGACTGACAACATATCAGTTCAGTAGCTAGATCTAGATCTAGATATCTAGATCTAGATCTAGATTCTAAGCTAAGTGTAAGACGGGAGAGAAAGTAAAAAAATATCAAGAAAGGTATTTAATTAACGCGTTTTGGGGATCTTCTGTTAGTTTTAGTAAGTCACTGAATGAACAAAAACAATGAGCTTCAAAAAAGAATCAATTGATGGAAGTGATGCCTTGTGAGCAGACATTTTAGCGTCCATAACAACGAGAGTCCGTTAGACTCAACTGGGCATTATTTTATGCAAAGAAAACATAACGGTATAAAATCACCTGAACAGCTCTTATTTCGATACGACACCATTTAATCAGAATAATCACATGATATATGAGGCAAATCTGTAGCCACGAAAAGGGACTTCAATGTCAAATTAGCTCATCAAATCTACATAAGAAGACATTTTGGAATGCTGTTTAGGCATTCACGCGCATGCGTCATTTTATGACCAAAATACTCTACTGCACGAATAAACAGCACAAATAAAACATTTTCTAGTCCGAAAAAAAATTGATCTAGCCTAGATCTAGATCTTATGTGGTATCATTGTGTTTGTAAAAAAAAAGCACAATAATTATTTGATTATATTCACATATTATTCCTTGTCAAAAGTTTTTTTGTCAACCAATGTAACAGGTGCGAGCCAAGGCAAGGAAGTCCTTGGTGCAAGCATTCACGACGTCACGAATTAGGATAAAATTGTATGATAATCCGTTCCTATTTTTATATGGTTTCGCGGGAGAGGCGATTTAACCACTGAACTGATTTATTACGAGTGAGAAAGAGTTGTGAAAGTTGAAAGTAAAATAGCACGACTTGTTCTGGACCTCTGTAAGTCTGTACCTGTAGCTCTAGATTAGGCTATACATACGATGCTTTGCGCATTTTAACGGTTCTGGGGAAAAAAAAGAAAAATACCTCCCAAATATCCTCTGGAAATAGCTTGCTTCTGCTGAGTGAGTGTGAGGAGCCTGGCCTGAGGAGGTAAGAAGCTCAGAGGCTTTCTATCTGGGATCCCCACTGCACACTATAGATCTACTATGCCTCCAAGGAAACGGAAAACTCCAGCCTCAGGCCGCTCAAGGCGTGATTCCAATAATTTAGGTAAGTACAGTAGTAATCTTGATCTACTAGATCTAGATCTACTCTTTCAACGCCTTTTTACTTTCGCAGTGGCAACGTTCACGGCGCCGTGAACGTAGTCTGCAGGCTAGGTTCACGGCGCCGTGAATGTAGTTGGCAGGCTACGTTCATGGCGCCCTGAATGCAGTTTGCAGGCGCTGTTGAGGCGACGTTCACGGCACTCAAGCTTCGTTTAGACGGAGCGTCCACTGCCGGTTAAAGGCTAAGGCATGATGCGGGGGAGGTTTTGAAATTCGTTAAGAAGAAGAAACTAAGCTTACAAATGTTGTAGCATCATTGGGTAGCATCAATATAAAAAGAGTGGAGAATTAAGTCATGAAGTAAAATTTTGAAAATTCTTTTGTGTTGCTATGGTAACGCCTGCCATATTAGAATGTCATATATAGAAAATGCACACATTTCTAAAAAATCTATCATAAGAAATGATTTTAAATGTTACAATAAGTGGTTTTGCAGCCTTCCGTGGCTGTTTTTAGAGGATGGACTTGGCATTTTTGATGTAGGAGGAAAATCTTTTCTAGAATCGAGGTCCTAAATATGGGAAAATTTTGACCACAAAAATCTCAGATCCAAACAATGGATTAAATTTATAATAATATAATTTATTCAAGATTTTATTTTGACGTCACTACTTATTACACTAGAATAATGTTTCATCTATCAATATTCCGAAAATTATGACGATATCTTAACAACTTTTCGCATGATAGATTTTTGTGTCCCCACCCCCACCCCCACCCCCACTGAAAGAGCCCAATTTGAGAGAAAACTCCTAAAAGTTTGGAGGTGCAAAACTTACTGTAAACGTAGTTCGTTATACAGTGGCGTCCAAAAGAAACTTGAAAATGTATTCACCCAGTCATCGTGTTAAAGCCTTGCATTACCCACTCATGCAGCATACATATTTAAAGCTAAATAAATTCTTCATCATCTGACACATTAATATTTAATCTATTTTAAGAGACACCCGAGACGTTGTCACTCAAAATTGACCTTAAAAAAATAAGGCTTGGCAAAATTGCGCGAAATCAAAGAAACGTAATTAAATTGTCTTTGCGCATTTATTGAATATCAATATTGATCGAATGGCGATATATTGAACTAGCTGGGCCCCCTTTCGATGAAAGGAATGATCGGTGCATTAACATCAACTGAAAGTCATTGACCTACATTTACACTCTACTGGAATGAGGCAATAAATCTTGAGAGATGCAAAAAATTAGAAGGTCTAGATCTACACTCTCAAAACAAAATGCGCCTCGCGAAATATCACTTTGCAATAAACAATATTTTATTACGATATTTTGTCACGATAGTTTTAAACATAACGGAAAACAGAGCAATCACAGATACCACACAAAGCTTCGACTCAACACTAATTGTGTTCATTGTTATTTTGCTTAGGAATCATTGGCTTTGTGTTGTGTACGAAACCTTTGGGCATCAATTCTATTTAGTTTTGGACATATTTATCAGTCGTTTAATTTCAAATGTCACAGAGAGTTGCAAACAAAGGGTCTGAATTGGGGGCAAAGTCGTTTTTCTTCAGCCGCTGTTTCATGGGACTTCACATACCTGTAGGATTCATATCGGGGCTGTTTGCTGCTAACTATTTGAACGTTGACTTGATTTGGTTTTTTAAGAAATCTGTAATGGCATTGGCCCTATGAGAAAATGCCGTGTTTCGCATGGGGATGACTACTTGAATAACACCTTGACAAAAATAAGGGTTAGACATGACGTTCCAGCACTTGCGCGATGTAGTCCACTAAACCAAGGCATCCGTTGATTCGCACGAGAGCGGCTTTGTTCATTCCACCCCAGGCCACCCAAAACCATGGCAGTTTCGTGGCCTCTTTCCTCACTGACAGCAGATGTTCAAAATTTTACAGGGTCTGTGTGCAAAAGAGGTTTCGAGCTCGGTAAGAAACCAACAGCTCCTGAACAAAAACAAAATTAAAACTAATGAACTCAAGTATCTGTTACGTCCAGGTTTTGTGAGGCATTTGTAACTGCTCTGTTTTTCAATCTTCATTAGTTTTCTGTTCAGCTCTTCGTTGTTGGTGTTTTGGAAGCTCTGAAGGGCATTGAATATACTTTTGCTAATGCAATATGTGTAGTCATCTTTTGCAATTTCAAAGTCATAAATACCATAAAAATTGAGCATCTGATGAGATTTGGCATCTCCGTCACACAGCATCCTGCTGCATACTAAACCTCAGTGTTCCGCTGATTTCGTGAATATTGTTTCAGCCTCCATAGCTTTTGCACTTCCTTGTAAATTTTGCTGGCACTTTATTTGATGGTGGGTTCTCAAAGGCAGAATAAAAAAGTGCATATCCGTCATTGTCACCTACTTCTTTATCTTTCTTCATTGGTGAAATTTTCTTTTTGGCAATGGGGTGAGGAGCAAGTTCATCCCCATCTAAAGTTTCCTCTTCACTATTATCACTCTCACGATATATTCCATCACTATGCCTACACCACTAGTGCCTCAATGTTCGAACTGTCGTGTGATGTGCTGAAGAATGTCGATGTCATTGCAGTAGGCTGTGGTAATCTTGAGAAATTGAGACTAGGGCTTCAAAGAATTTTGGAAAGGTGTTCAAAAAGCATTTTCTGAGCTCAATAACTGTTGAAACTGGGGTAGTGCCGAAACAGCACTCCCATCTTGTTGATTAGACGCTAGCATCAGCATCAGCAAATGTCATTGAAAGAGACGATTATGAGGCTGAAACAAAAGAATGAATTGAGAGTAGGAACTGATCTAAAATCTCTGTTTGTCTGTCTGTCTGTCTGTCTGTCTGTCTGTCTGTCTGTCTGTAAATATAAACACAAGTACAGTTTTGGTGTAGAACAAAATAAAACAGTAAAGTTGAGTAAAGGGAACATTGACCAATAATGAGTTTCTCAGATAAGGAGACCTGGCAATAATATTGAGAGCTTTCGTTTTCAGTTCTTGTCTTGTGTCTTGTAGTTGCAAGAAATATTTAAAAAATAACCGTGCTATCAACTTTCCTAATCTCTTTACTGTATAAAAATGCATACATGATATGAAATACGCTTGCAAATAGTTTGAATGAAAGAATGAATGTCTCGTTCTGGACCAAAGACATAATACGCGCGCGCACACACATACACACACACACACACACACACACACACACACACACACACACACAGAGAGAGAGAGAGAGAGGCAGAGAGAGAGAAGGTTGGGGGAGAGAGAAAGAGAGAAGGGAGAGAGAGAGAAAGAGAAAGGGAGGGAGAAGGGGGGGGCGGGGAGAGACAGACAGACAGACAGAGACAGAGAAAATAGAGAGGGGGGGGGGAGAAAGAGAGAAGGAAAGAGAAAGGGGAGAGACAGACAGAAAGAGAGAGAGAGAGGGTGTTTGCTATTATGATAAGAATTATTCCCGTCATTTTCTCTCTGCGTCGGTTCCCAGGCTTTTTCTTTTTTATTCATCTTATGGGATGGAACATTTGAAGCTGGCCAAAATATTAAATATACGTCACTGTAGTCACTGACTAAAACCGGCTGTGGACGCTTCGTCTAAACGAAGCTTGAGTGCCGTGAACGTAGCCTCAACAGCGCCTGCAAACTGCATTCAGGGCGCCGTGAACGTAGCCTGCAGACTACGTTCACGGCGCCGTGAACGTAGCCACTGCGTTTTACTTTTTAGTTTCGGAGTGTCTACACGTACACGGTAACCGGGCACCTAGCCTCAGTGTCTATGTTATGTACAGTACACGGTACCCGGCAACCGGGCACGTAGTCTCCGTGTCATGTACACGGTTGCCGGGCATGTCATCATGTAGCCTCAATATCTATTCTATGTACACGGTAATCGGCAACAGGGCATGTAGGCTAGTCTCAGTGTCAGCAGAGACTATATTAAATATTATATAATTAAATACAATACTTCCTGGTGTCACGTACACAGTAACCGGGCAGTTCAGAACTCCAAGTCCAGTTTTTGTCTTCTGGTGTTGCCTTCATCCCCACCCCTCCTCGGACTGTACCTTTAAAAAAAGAAAATCACGTAGATTAGATACTGGGACTAGATCTAGGTGTCCGGTTACTGTGTACGTAGAGATACTAAGACTAGGGGAGACTAGGTGCCCGGTTACCGCGTACGTAGATACTGAGACTAGATGCCTGGTTACCGTGTATGTAGACACTACGGTATGATCATTCACGTCATTGCACTTTGTTTCTGTTCAGGTTCAGAATTGTTCTCTTATAAAACATTTTCTTATTAATGAATGATCTTTTCTTTATAAACTAGATCTAGTCAACAAAAGTTAGGGAATGCACTGTAAAAACAGTGATATATTTGCATGCATTCTTTCGAGGTTTTACTTTTACTAGTTAAGCTAGATATTGGTGAAATGTTACTCTCTGACTAAACTAATGGGCTTGTACACATCAGGGTTTGAAATGCACGTGACTCCTGTGCGCTGAGCTGGGGAGGGGGCAAACGGGCCCAATGTTTTCAAATTGTCGATTTTTATTCTCTCGCTCTTACAGTCAAGAAAAATGATGAACGCTCAAAAATCAGTTTTCACGTGCAAGATTCATGTCTCGTGAGTGAGTTGCACACACTCATTTGCCCTGTGGATACACCATTCTGTTGCTGTAGGGCTAAGCGTAAACATGCCTCCTCAACAGAAATTGTCTGATGTAAATAGAGGACGAGCCTTTGCTTGGGTACAAGATGGTGTTTCACTCCGACAAGTTGCTACACGTCTTCGATTGTCCGTTTCTGTCATTTCACGGCTGATTCAGCGTGTCAATGCCACTGGTAGTGCCCAAGATCAGGTCGACCTAGAGACACTAATGCAAGGGAAAACCGATTCATTCAAAGACAAGCTCTGCAGTCGAGATCCGCTCATCCTGCAAATCGCATTCAGATACGGCTGAGAGCGGCAACGTGTGTTAACATTAGTTGTCAGACAGTACGAAGACGTCTTCATGAGTTTGGACTTAATGCACGTCGACCAGCAGTCCGTCAGCGTCTCACCCCAGTACACAAGGCTGCTCGTCTTTCCTTTTGCCGATGTCATGTAAGATGGACACATCAACAGTGGACAAACGTTCTCATCAGCGACGAGTCCCGGTTCTCTTTGCATCACAATGACGGTAGTATCAGGGTTTGGAGGCGACCCGGAGAGCGGCTCCTCGATGCAGCCATCAGAGAAGTGGTGCCTTTTGGTGGTGGTTCCGTGATGGTATGGGGTGCATTCAGTCTGAACCACAGAACACCTCTGTACCATGTGCAAGGGAATCTCACTGCAATACGCTACCGAGATGAGATACTCCGCCCATTAGCACTACCTACTCTGCAGCAGATGGGGCCACACGCGGTGTACCAGGATGACAACACCCGACCTCATAGAGCGTTGCTTGTCCAAAACTTCATGCAGCAGGCTGGCATCAACCGAATGGACTGGCCGGCCTGCAGTCCGGACTTGAGTCCCATAGAAAACCTCTGGGATGAGCTGCAACGTCGAGTCAGAGACAACTACCCCCCTCCAGGAGACGCGCAGCAACTGTTTCAGATGCTGCAGGCAGAGTGGCAGGCGATGCCTCAGAGAGTGTTCATCAACCTCATGAACTCGATGAGGAGCCGGAGTACTGAGTGCCAGGACAATCGTGGTGGGAATACTCATTATTGAAATCATCGGAACTGTTTTGTTTTTGTTGTAGTCAGAAGTTAACATAACTTCGAAACCACTTGACAATTTTGTGATTTGGGATTTTAACCCCTACCAAACTCAATGAACTTTTCAAGCAAGTTAAAATGGAATAACTTAATTTTCTTTTTTTGTTATTTGGTATACACATGTTTATTAAAATGTGTTTGTTTGTTTGTTTGTTTAGTATAGGGTTTTACGGCGCTCGCAACTGCTTAAGGTCATATGAGCGCGCGGGACACACCTAATACTTTTTCGTTGATAGGAAATTTTGAATTTTGCCCGGGTGGCGGCCGAAGCCTACTCTTATCGATTTTAGACCACCAAGGGATCTTTAACGTGCGCAACTTGCACACGGGCCCTCCAAGATTTTTCGCCCTTGTCCGAGAAGGCTAGGTGTAGATCTTTCCTACCAGAAGATCAGGGGTGTGGCAGAAAGACAGCAGTTAGGAGGAGCCAAGGAGTAGCAGTAGAAAGGCTGCAGAAAGAGTCAGGAGCCCAGAAGAGGGGGCAAAGGAGGTGAGGGGGTGGGGGCAGAAAGTGGAAATGAAAGCAGACAACAGAACATTGTTAGAGATCAGGAAAGGATGTGAAAGGAGACAATTTTAGAGAAGAAAATTTTTTGGTCGCTACCCGGAATCGAACCCAGGACCTTTGAATGAGAGGCCAACACCTTAACCTCTAGGCCACGAGAGCCCCTTTAAAATGTGTACCAGATTTCATTTCGTGTTGAAGTTTACTTTCGAAGTTATACACTTTTTCCCAAATGTTCCTTAACTTTTGTTGACTAGTTTATGTATTTTTATTGGGAGTGTCTAGATCTAGATAGACTAGATTCTGGATCTAGATCTAGATTAGATCTAGAGTCTAGATGAATCTAAATCGAGACATTCATGTTACAGTGGAGTCCACTTATAGCGAGTCCTGAAATAACGAGGTCTGTTATAAAGACACTCTTCTAAAAACCTTTTTTTTCCCCCTTCTTTATCATTGTAAATAAAATACTGCTATAGCGCTATCAGACAAACAGGCGTGTCTATAGCAGATCAATAATATTGTTGCTGCTGTGCACACGGCATGGGCCAATGATACATAACGTAAAACCTTGCAAGTTGAGAAACTTGTTGGTGAACTAGCGTAACAAAGAATGGGAGAGCCCACGTGTGTGTCAACAATGAAGGCCAGAGCAAATGAGTGGGGAGGGTGTGGCATGCGCAGACAAGCAGAACGCAACGCATGATAGGCCAGCCTAGTCTAGATTATCTAGGTCTACCATGCCTCTCGCTTCTCCGATGCGGGGATGGAGAGGTCACAGTGCTGTGACTGTGATGGATGGAGTGAATGTGTGACATGCGCTAGAAAACGGAACGCACCGCAGGGTGTAGTGGTGTAGGGGACAAGACAGCGGGCGAGTTAGCCTAGAGCCCTTTCTTTCTGATCGCCATCGCCGAGCTGTGAACATCGCTAGTGCTTGAGAAAGAAACCTGATTCGATTTTTGATCAAGTAAGACCTAGAGGTCGTGTTGAACACAATCATCATCAGGGGAGGTAATACAAAGATACAAACTGAACACCAATCTCATAGATTAGGCCTACATTACTATTTCCCTTGAATTTATCACTGGATCCCTTTTAACAAAAATCCTACTATATCGGATATTTCGCACCAGTCCCGTCCCTCTTGTTATAACAGGATTCCACAGTATTTCGAACTGAAAAGGCTTCAGGAATGACGTAGGGTTGTTCAACACTGTAGACTGTAACATCACAAATGTTGGCAAGTGTGCCATTCTTCTATGAGTCTGCTGTCAAATCCAGCCTACTTCAAAGATTATGAATAAAGAACTGGCTACAATTACTACTCCAAGAAGACTTCAGATCTAATACCAGATGCCTACGAAGATACTGAGGCTGAGTTTCTGGTTTAGCAGATAAAATGTTCTTTCTGGGAGAAAAATGGAAGCCACGTCTGTGGGGGCTGTTCACCCTGGAAGCAACCTCGTTGAATCCGAGCTCGCTGATTTAAGTGCTCGTTGAATCCGGGTTATTTTTATTAATTTTAAATAAGCAAATAAAAGCCCGGGGAATCTATCTCATGTCGTTGAATCCGAGTTCCACTGTATTTTCATATATATATATCAGTTGCCCATGGATAGGAAATAATTACCGCTATTTGTCCTGGTCGAGGAGGAGACTCAACAGAAAGAAGGAAGAAAGGAATGAGTGCACCGATCACCTGACTGCAAATTCTTTCACTGATTCTGAATAGAAAGAGGGTATAGTGAAAGAAGGATCAGACATAATATAGTACGAAAGAGAGGCATCTAATTTGCAAGTTGCACACGTTAAAGGTCCCTTGGTGGTCCAAAATCGATAAGAGTAGGCCTAGGCTTCGGCCATCACCTGAGCAAAATTCTAAATTTCCTACCAACTGATGTGCTTATGCTCATATTATGCAGTTGCAAGTGTAGTAAAACACCTACCCCCCCCCCCCCCCAAAAAAAAAAAGAACAAAAAACAACTGTTAACATGTCGTTAATTAAGTCTTTTGAGCTCAAGTTACTCTGTAGAATGCCAGTGGTCAGCAAAATGTATTACCCCCAGATGAAAGTATATAACAACTTGGGAATGAATGTTGCTCCGGTCTTGTTACGCTTTTAGTTTAAAAATCCTAATCTATAATTCAGACTTCACCACCACCATCTCACCATCTATCCCGTTGACTGGATGTCTGTTGGGGCACTTTTGAAGATTTGGCCTCCAGCTTCCTCCACTCCTTCAGGTCTTCAGCTTTCCTGAGCATGTCTTTGAGTTCCAGCCCTGTCCATTCCTTGATGTTGTCCTCCCCGCTCTTCTTCCGTCTGCCTCTGCTCCTTTTTCCCTGGACGCTGCCTTTGCGGGATCATCTTGGCAGGGCCAGATCAACGGGTGATGTGTCCATACCATTACCATTGCAGTTTGCATTTCCTGACCCAATTGGGAAGGTCAGCATATGGACTCAGACTGCTTAATTAAAGAATTGCTCCAGTTCTAATGTATGTGTACTTCTGGCTCAGGAAAACATTTTCTGTAGAAATTTTTTGTATATATTATATATATATATATATATATATATATATATATATATATATATATATATATATATATATATATATATATATATATATATATATATATAATATATATATATATATCAAAATTAACGTCAACTCTACTCTTTCACTTTCAGATGAGAAAAAGACTCGCAAGGAGCAGAGTGGCAGTAAAGAAACAGTCTTTGATAAGAAAGTTGCTTCAAAATCCAAGGATAAAAGTCCAAACGGAAAAGACAACTCTCCAGTGTACTCTCACTGGCTTGTCAAATCTGAACCAGATTCTCGCTTTGAGAAAGGTATTGATGTAAAGGTGAGTTTCCCTTAAAGGATGGGGGAAAAAACTTTCTGATTTTCCTAAATGTTGATTTGAATTATATTTGAATAGTCTTCATCTCTGTTATTGGTATATATCAGTTTCGGTGTAAAATGCAAAAATGTACCAAATTGAAATACAAACCATTCATTCAGTTTTTTATTGTGAGAATTCATTGCTAGTTCAAAATTGGGAAAGCTGATATTCAGCGCTTTATTTTGAACTTATCTAAAATAATGTGAATCTAAGAGAACGGTGAGACTTATGGTTACTGTAATATAATAACAATACAGTTTAGCACACACATAGTGAACACGCACATAGCAAACAGATTTTCAGGTCCCAAATTGATTCTCATTTCCATTCTTTGTATTCAAAACACACATAATCATCAGTTATCATAATAACTTTGGTTAAGACAGTTTTATATATATATATATATATATATATATATACACCTGTACAAACGGACACTTTCCATTTCCTTCCCCCCCCCTTGCGTTTTTTCTATATAATTTAACTGTAAAACGGGCACCTGTCCGCCGCGGCCACCATATTTCAACACACAACCCCTATCACACAAAGCAAAAAACACCTGTCTTAGACGGCCACCTTAGTGACTCCATTACGCTTTGTCATAAATTGTGCATTGGCCCCTGGCGTTGTGGGCGAGCCATCATCTAAAAACCTGTCGTTGCTAGGTAGTCCCTCCAACTGATCATGTTGCGTAGGTCCCTCCCACTGTTGACCAATAGGTAACAAAATTAATTTTCAGCTGCTGGTGAAGTAAGCGTGTGATCCCTCATAACCCATAAGCCCCGCCCAGAACCCATACACAAATCGCAAGTGAGATGAGTGGTCACTGTTTACCCAAAGTAACAATGGACGTCAACATGAACTTGTGACAGAAGCGTCGCTTGTTCTCCGAGTGGTAGTACGGGTGTTTGTTTTACCATAGCACTTGATCCTCCTTGTCTGACACATTTCGTTTTATTGTCACCCGTGCACAAAAGCAGCAACAAAATAAAAGAAAACCCAGCGAAAACAACAACAACAATGCAACTACCTTTGGTTGGGACCTCAGAAAGGAAAGGTTTGTTTTCTCAGAAAGGAATGGTTTGTTTTCTTCATCTCGATCAGTCCTGCCTAAGACGGACACCTGTCTTATACGGCCACTTTTCTCCTTGACAATGGGTGGCCGTCTTACACAGGTTCGACTGTATATATATTATAATAATAATAATAAACTTCATTAAAAACGCCTGACTTTTCAAATGCACGCAGCGTTTTAAAAAATCATGTGTTTTATGAAAAGAACACAGTGTTAGCTGTTACTGCTATTGTCCACTATCAGGCCATTAGACGAACTTTCTTTTGTTGGTATGGTATCTTTCCTTTTGTGACATAAAACATGTAAAACATTGTTACTGCAATGAATCAGCTGTGATTGCTCTACAAATTATCACTTAACTGTTGTGAGGAAGAAATGCGTTCAGTTCCCTTTATTTTACTCTCAACTGTTTGCCAAGTTGAGCACTGAGGAGCATAACGGTGCCACTGGGATGCTCATCACTGGTGTAAGTCATAGACGCTTTGCGGCACAGTTTAATATTGATCAACGGACAACTGGAAGGCTGCAAGAAAAGTTTCCAGACAACTGAAAATGTCACTGACCAACCAAGAGCGGGGCAACCAAGGGTTACAACCACATATGATCAGCATTTTTCATATTTGCTACCCAAGAGATCGGTTTTTTGGCCACTAACAGCGAGAGACCCTCAGGGATCTAGAGAAACAGTAAGTGCAGCATCTGTGTGGTGTCGATTGACGAAGGCAGGTTTAAGAAACCGCAGACCCTACAAAGGCCTGGTGCTTACTACTGCACACTGACAAGCTCGTGTAGACTGGTGCAACCAATACTCAAAGTGGATGCCCAGAGACTGGGACGGGGTTGTGTTTCTTAACAGTCTAGGTTCTGCGTAAGTCATAAAATGATGAAAGAAGTGTACACCAACCATCAGGTCATCAATGTGCAGCAATTTCGCAGTGCATTGATCGCAGAATAGAATAACCTACCGATACCACAGAGAACCATTCCAAGTCTTACTCCGTGCATGCAGTGTCGAACACTCAATACCATTGCAACAAAAGGCGGCCAAACTCGTTACTGTACATTTATTGAAAGGGGGTATGTTTAACATTACACAACATAAACACACAAGCCGGGATTAGACCACCTCTTTTTTTCAACATCTGTTGATAATATATGTTCTCATGTCTCCGTGTAAACGCTTTTACTAATCCATGCAATAGTTTTCATTCCAAGTGCATTTCTTTAAGTGAGGCGTTTTTAATGGAGTTGAGGTAAAATGGGATAAAAACTGCTACCATTGCATATTGGGACTTATAAAGCCACAATCCGGACTGCATTTCTCTTCCCCATATTTCTTGGTCTCTGCCAAAGAACCCAGTCATAGAGAGACCGGAAGACTATTTTTTCAAACAGACTGGATTCTTAGGGGGAATTTCTAGAGGCATAGCTCAGTTCCCACCTGTTGGCTTCCCTTGTTTCTTCTATTATGAAATAATTACCCTTGGGCAATACTGACACCTTTTGGAAGGTAAAGAGGTTTGCTTTGTAAAACAAAATACAGTAGAACCCTGAGAACAAGAAATTCATGGAAAGAGAATTTCTTGTAAAGTTAAGTAAAGTTTTAATGCTAGGAATTTCTTTGCGTGGTTGACGGGTGGCCTGGTGTGGTTTTCTTCTTTTTTTCAAAAAAAATTTCTATCATTTTTATTTCTTTTCCTTATTTCTTATGTTTGTTACTCTCTTGTAAACACCTAATCTTCTGCGATTTTATGACCTAATTGTGTTGTAAGTGCAGTAAAATGTTTACTGAAACAATTTTTGTGTGTGTACAAAATAAGACAGACGTTTCAGGTCCTTAATGATAGTTTTTATGTTAATGAGCTTGTTCCCTGATGCATAGTAAAATTATGTAACAAGCTTCAGTCACAGTATCAATTAGAAGCTGATATCCTAAAGTGTTGTTGATCTGAATTGTGAAACTAAATTTCTTACTTGAAAACAGTGCGTAAAGACTTCTATAAAAGTGTACTGGTTTTTGGAAAAATATAGGAGTGTAGTGTTTTGTTTATTTAATTGAGGAGGGAGGTCAACAATGATTGATGATCAGATATATTGTTTAATGTTGATAAGTTATATGAACAATAGAGGTGGATTTTTTAAAACTTAAAAAAAAATTGTGTCTTTCTTTCAACACTGTGTTTTGTTTTTCTGTTTCTAATTTCAGTTCAGTTTTGAAGATTTGAAGTCTTCTCCAGACCAAACTGCGTGCTGGGACGGGGTCAGAAACTATTCAGTAAGTTTTTATCTTTTTCCTTTTCCTTCAGCCCACTAGTGTATGTGGACTGCTGGTTGTCACACTCATCAAAGCACAAGTGGGTTTGGTTTTTTCGTGTTTATGGGTTATGTTATGAATTTTAAAAATGCAGTGATTTAGGCTACTCTTCTTTATGTGGCAGCTCTCAAAGTGTCATTAGCCTATGCACCTGCACACTAACCTTTTTTGTCTCTACTCTTGAGAAGACAAGGACATTGATGCTGACTGCCCTGAGAGAAAGGATGGGAAACACTTGATGATGATTAACCCTGAGATGTCCAATAGACCATTCCACACAAATTAAGGATGGAACCTATACCATACCACGGGACTAACGATTCCATTTTTAAATAAGTAAATGCCTACTTTTTTTCAAACTCATTAAATGTAATATATACTTGCTTAAAGTAAGAGGTTTGATTTGATTGATGATTACATTCATACAATTCATTTCCCATCTGTTCTTTTATTTGAAGGCTCGAAACTTTCTTCGGGACCAGATGAAGAACGGCCATGATGTGTTTTTTTACCATAGCAACTGCAAGGAACCTGGAATCGTTGGGATTTGCAAAGTAAGATGTTGTTCTGGTACAGTGGAACTTGCATTCACCTAACCTCGGAAAAACTCTATAAAAGGAGAAGGATTTGTCCTTTTTCACAATTCGTTAGTTTTAGTGAAATATCTTTATACAGTGAACATGTCAATGAGGGAGCTCCAACTTGGTGAAGTCATTTGCAGATTAAACAGCCCTCTCTGATGTGGCGTCGCACATTTTTCTCTCATTTCAAACCTTTTACTCTTTTCCTAGGGGACTTTCGACCGCCCTGCAACATGGACCATTAGCAGGCTTATTGTGTGTTATATACGGTACAGGCTATGATTGACCTTTTAGAGACACAGCCATTTTATTCACCATTGAAAAGCATCCTATCATACCAAGACTTGCTTTGAGGGCATGTGCCAGAGTCAGGAGGGGTCGTATGAGTGGTCAGCACGAGGGGGGGGGGGGGGGGGGGGGGGGGGGGGCTGTGTGCTGGGCATGGATCATCGGTTTAGTTGCAGTTCTGGCATGACTACTTCATAGATTTCTCCAAGCTACTGAGTTCAAAGACATAGATCTACAAAAAGACTTGCGCACAGATCTGTAGGCCTAATCAAAGCTGGCCCTAGCAGTGTATTATCCAAGTTGTTCAGCAAACAGTCTGTCATGTCACAGACATCCATTTGAGCCCAGTTTTCTTTTCACACATTCGTTATAGCGGCAAACAGAAGGGAACCCCTCTAGTTTGAACCCCTAATTGCTCTGTATTGAACAAGTCAAAAAGATGAAAGAATAGAGCATATTTTGTAGAGAACACAGCTTTGCATTAAGGTCTCTGTCAACATTTTTTTTTGAAAGACAAGGGTAAGACACTAGCTGCCTTGGACATCAGCTTAACAATTGTCGCTGTTGATGGCAATCCATTAAGTCCAAATTTTGAGAATTTTCAAATTTTACACGCTCCCAAAGCTCTATCAAGGATGCACCTTTCAGCATCACCAAAATGCAGTTCATTGCTATGGTCAAGGTTTACAATTTTCTTGCTCATCATAATTCCTGATCGGAACAAAGCAACAAAAACTTGGGGTTTTTTTGTCTCTGATGTAAAAAGTGCCCAAATGGGCCCAACTGGATTGCTTGCAACACCAACATATATGTACATGAATATGTTGATAAAGCAGTTCTGATGTAGTTCACACCAAAAAAACCAGAAGGTGAATCCTATGCTCACCAGACCACCATGTTCAGGGGCTATACCAAGAGAAGCAAGTACTCCTGGGCACCACTGTTTTTTTCCCTTTAATCATGCACAGTGGTATATCCAGAGCAGATGTCCATGTCGCTATCAGTCAGAAAGCTCACATTAGACACCCTTTCGTTTCAATAAAGTTAAAGTTCGAAACGTTTTGTTGGGTGTGAGTTTCACTATATTCTGAATTTATTTTTAAAAATATGTTTCGTTCTAGAAAATAGTACATCTCATCGTATTGGTTCTCTGAAAATATAGTAGAATTGTATAGATATGAGATGATCGCTAACAGTGGAATATTGTTTAATGTATATAATGATAAATTATATTTGGCTTAAAATGATGGTTAGGGTCTAAACTTCTTATGTCATGTTTACCTCATCATAAAAAGAGTACGGCACAACTGAGTTTTTTAAAAATGGAGACTTGAGCCCAAGTTCGATGCGTTTGTCGTAAGTCAATATGGTTAACTTTCCGAAATAGTGTATCACAGTGGTCTCTGCCTAAGATCCCGGTGCTCGGGAGCTAGGAAAATGTGGGGTGTTAGGCGAACAGGATCTTAGCTGAAGTGCCAAGGGGAAAATCTACGGTGACCCATGTTAAGGCCCAAAGGGTAGAATGGTCCCCCTTCACTCTGAAATGAACTGACGTGACCCTTTGGTGGGTTTATGACTTATGGTGAGCAAAGAGTGGTCAGTCTTTATGACCAATCACAGTGGCATGGGGCTTGCCATTTTCATTTATTATCCTATTGTGAGTCTAAAGGTCTATTCTTATCCAGTCCCCCCCCTTACCTGTCCAAAATTTATAGCTTTCCATCTCTGACAGAGTTCCTCCTATCTTTTTCGTAACGCTTCATTACGTTGTGATCACACCAATTCAAATTCAGTCTGTCTCACAGATTCGGGAGTAGAGACAACTGCTGCTATGGTCAGGGAAGAGTTTACTGTTCAATATGGTCCCGTCAGGAGCGAACTTGTAGGCCCTACCCACCCAGCGTGTGATGTAAGTTTAGGTGGAGAGCTGTGATGCGAGCGGTCAGTTCACACCTCGGTATGATCCCGTCTGGGGAAAACATTGTACCGTTTCATAGAGTTTTACATCGCTTTTGTGATCACGTTCACGAGAGTGGCTGATCTTTGATGCGACGGGCAGTTCAAATGATCTCAACTTTTCACTCTTGGTTGATCGACCCTGCCCATCAGGGTTTTTGTTCCATAAATTATGATCTGAAATGCAGAATCTTAGCCGAATGTAGACCTTCAGAGTGAATCAGAGTTGTATAGTAAAAATTCTGCATTCTCAAAACAGCGAGATCTTAAGTGACCAGGATCGTAAGCAGCGGGATCTTAGGCGGAGACTACTATTCCACTAAGACTACTTCTCTTTGTGTCCGTAATCTCTTGTGTATCTTTTATTTTAGATAGATAGTACAGTGTTAATTGTTGATAATGTAAACAGTGTATGTTTTTCTTCCAATGACTCTTACACAGGTAGTCAAAGAAAGTTACCCTGACCACACACAATTTGATTCTAAAGACCCGCACTATGACAGGTATTACTGTAATACTTTCGTTGTAAATTCTGTCCTTGAGAAATAGGAGAAATTGCTTTTTAAATGGATGTTTCTATCAGTCAACGTTTAAAAAATCTATATAGAAATAGGATTTACTTTTATATCATCAAGTATTAGAACTTTCTATTAAACTTTTTGAAAAGTTTTGTTTTTATGAAGTATTATGTTGTAGTACTCTTGCACTTCTGAGAGATTTCCTTTGCACATGTTTTTGTGCCGAATTCACCAAATAAATAAAACTTTATTGGAATTAGATGGTATATTATATCACATACATTAAGCTTAATGTATACAACTAAATTCTCATTAATAAATATTTCTTGCCGCAGAAATTAATGTTGCCCGAAACATCGGGATTCTAATTATGGTCACGTTTCTAGAGTTCTCTGTGGCTCTAATCATTTTGAAGAGTGACTGATGTCCCAGTTCTGGAAATTATCGTAGAGCCAAGTCTGGGAAACACTGGTTGTATGGAGTGTGGCTACATCCTGCTAAAACCATGCTATTCTTCCAACTACTTCCTCCTTTGACCTTTAATTTAATTAAGTTCTTAGATTCTCTTATTTTTCTCCAAAAGAAAAGATTAAGTGACAGTGCTGCATTAAAAAAGAGAAAAGTCAATCATTGTTGGTGTTGAAATAGAAAAGCAGTCAATACATTGCTCTATTCAGGGTTAGTAACTCTTTTCAATAAGATCAGTCAAATAATAATGATAATGCAGATAATTTTCTGTAGCGCCACTACCATCAAAACTGCTCAAGGTGCTTTACAGTGTATCATATTCAGGAAATATAGACAGAGGTTTTCTTGTAGTCACTCTGAGTCCACTTGAACTTTTGCATGTATTGGTTCTTTTGAACTATAAAGACCTTTGGAAGTTTTGTGTGTAGGGGGACTGGCTTCATAGTGTCCAGGTCTATTTGATAACGCACCTTTTGTGTTGAGTGTGTGTCTACTGGAAGTTTTAGCAGTTTTGAAAAGTTAAAACAAATTAGTACACGACTAAGGTCTCTAATTTCATAGTTTTCAGATGTTTGTAAGGTACATTTCGAACAATTCATAAATATATAGCAGTGTTTTCAGAGAGACATTTGGTGTGGAAGCCAAAAGAATAGCGTCAACAAGTTGAACAAGCTGTTCAGATGTCACAAGCCGTGCAAATAACATCTTTCAGGAGAGTTGAAAAACTACTTCATTCTCTTAACAATAGCCTTCACACCTACATTATGTATGTTGTCTTGCTTTTTTCAACATCTAGAATTTGAATTTGTACGAAATATTTCTGGGGCTCATTAAGAAACTGCTATAAAAATCAGTTTTCAAAATTGTAGGTTTATTACGTCTGAACCGCTGGCTAACAGTAAGCTTACTTTCTTTCTGAAACACCGTGGGCTGAGAGAGATAACTAGTGTGTATTTGCCTTTGATTTTGTGTGTTTTTTTCTTTTGTACTTTTTTCATTGTCACTTTCACAAGTGAGGAAAATTGTTCCGTTTTGAAACTTATACCTGATTACTTAAGTGTTGATATTCTTTTAGGATAATTTGGTGCGAGTCAAAATTTCTTATTTGAAGTAAGCATGTTATTTGTCAAGACGGTATTATTGTAATAATATTATATTATTATGTTTTGGGAAAAGGAATATTTGACATATCTGTAAAGTGTGCTCAAAATAAAGTACAGTCGAACCCGTGTTGCACGGAATTGCAAAGGAGCAAGAAAAAAATTATGTCTTGGACAGGGGAATTTAGGGGGGAGGGGGGGTTCAAAGGCCCAGCCGGTGGGATCAAGGATCACTTGTCCAATCGGCAAGCAGTGGTCAAAACTTCACACCTCTCAATTGCTATCCTGTCTGATAATGACATGCGTCAGTCTTACTTATCCAATTACCACCACTGCTTGCCTTTCATAGGACCACTATTTGACCTATTAAAAACAGAAATGTTTGAACATCTTTGCTTCCACCCTTAGCCCCGCCCACCGGTGTAACAAGCACAGTAAACCAATGCCACCCCTCACTGCCATCATGTAACAATGATTTGTTGAACTTTTTTCTTGGCTGGCAGGCATTAGTCAATCTAATTTCACACCTCTGGCTTCTGGCTACCCAGGAAAGTTTCCTGCAGTCGTGAGATTTCACACCCACACTACCCTGGCCATCTGTATCACTCAGGGCTCACATGATGGGGTAACGCCTACTCCCAAATAGCACCCCCTACTCCCCTTCCTTGCCCAGCGACATGACCATGGTGTTAAGTTTAGAGCTGGCGGAACCAAACTTGCGAGTTTTGTTTCAAATCAGGGCTGAGGGGGCAAAGCATTTTCCGTCTTAGACAGGGTAAACCCTCGGAAGGGAGCAGATTTTTTTTTCCATTTCCGCGTTAGACAGGTTTCCATTTTATACAGGTAATTAAAGAGGAGTATTTCAAAGGGGGAACGAGGAGCTTCCATTAAGTCAGGTTTCTATTAAGGCAAGTTTGACTGTACATGTATACCTTTGATTAATTACGTTTAACGTTACAAGCATACTGCTCTTAAATGTAATGATTTGAAGGGCCAGTGGTCATAGTACATATGCTTTTATTAAAGTTTATTTCACTTATCGACACGAAAGTGTAAGTTTAGGAAGAGATTTTGGTGCAACAGTCATCTTTTCCGAAAACAAAACATTAAAATAGGATTTTTAAATAAAGATGGATAGTGTCCAAGCTTATAACTAAATTGTCTGCTATGGTAAAGTGAAAGAAAAATCTACAATTTTGGCTCTTCATTCCAATGCTTATAATTATAACACAAACACGTTTTGGTTGTCTTATGGAATATATGTCTTAACTGATTTTTTGTTGTTTTTTATGTTTCAGCTCATGCAAAACAGACAACCCTAAATGGTTCATGGTAGATGTGAAATATGTTCGACCTTTAAAGAGATTCATATCTCTTGCTGAGTTGAAGAAGATCCACCAGGAACATGCTCGAACTGGGGGCCCATTGAGCAAAATGGCGATGTTCACAAGGGCCAGACTGTCTGTACAGCCAATTGCCAATGGTAAGTTTAAAAGTAATGTTAAGTTTTAAAGTTAGTAAATCTTGTACAGTGAAACTCACATTCACCAAGCCTGGACTGACTAAACGGAAAGGAAAAGGAATCCCCATTTTAAAAAGAATAAATTAAAATCAACAAAATAATGTGTATTCACTTACTGAACACTTGATTGAACGAACTGTGACTCACCGAAGTTGCTTGCAACGAGAATAGCGCCTGCTTATGTGGCTCTGTGAGTTTTTCTCTGTCAAGTGTTCCACGGATGGATTGTCAGCAGTGGTGTAGTGCTGATGTGATGTCATCTTTGTTTTTTACAGCTGCTGAATAGTGCAGTGTGCAGGCCTAGGCCTTGTAGCTGTGACGTCAGATGCACAATGGAACGGGTGACCTTGATACCTAACTTCAGATTCAATATTGACAATCAAAAATGAAGTTTGCTTAAGTTTAAATATGGCATCAAATCAGGTTTTGCATTAGTCACTTTGCTTATTTTGATAACCTGATTCCAAAAGTGAAATACATTTTTAGTGGTGATAATTACATCTATTTAAGAAATTCTACACGCAAAGTTTAATCCAGCGTAGCGGCAAACTTCGCAAAGAGATTTTGCATCGCAGCTCGCCTCTCCCAATTCTGACTTGGGGAGGGGGGATGAGGGTAGCGCTGATCATGGAACGAGACGCATGGTCTCAGACCTCACCTCCTGGTATCACTGCCAGTATTAGTACTCAACTGGCGGTTCTCGACGCCCTGTGCCGGGAAAGGACTGGCACTGGGTTTCGCAGGTACCACACAGCACTATTGTACACCCCCTCTTATATTACAGTGGAACTCGGATTCAATGAGCCTGATCTAAAATCTCGTTGAATCCGAGTGTTCGTTATAGCAAACAGGAGGTTTTGTGTAGATAATTACAGGCACGGAGCAAGTAATGTATAAAGAGAAGTCACAAGTAGTGCCTGAAATGCCTGCGTATTATGAGCTGTGTAAAAAAAAGACCGATTCTTTCAAATGCACGCCTGAGTCATCTCGATTGTTCACCAAAAAGGTGTGTTGCGGAGTAGAGCCTAACGGCAACTTTTGATTCCATAGACCAGCGCACAATTCATTACGTCATTACGTAGGTCTACGTCAAGACTAGCTTATCATTGTAATAATGATCAATTGCCGAGGGGGAAAAAAAAGACTGACGCGTTTGTATCTTTGACGTTCAACGCCTGGACCGCTAGTGGTGTGAAAATAGAAAATAAGAAAATTCTCAAAATTTGGACTTGGTGGATTGCTTGCGGCAGCGACAAAATGCAGCACTTTATTAAAAGTCTGTTCTTCAGTCTCAGTTTATGAGTTCATTGTCATCGTGGTACAACGGAAACCATTTAGCACAAGTTCCTTAGTTGTTTTTTTTAAAGATCATTCAATTATGCTTTTCATTCAATCATTAACTCTAACTTTTAACCCTGTCTGGACAGTGGCAGCGTCCGGTAGTCGAGGTCCATAACCATGGCTGGACGGTACCACCATTCGATGCCAAGTTTTTATTGTATTATGGTACTGGCAGAATATAAAAAAAGTACGGGTTAACTAGCCTTTAGTTTGACCCAGAAGTCAAAGATAAATTAATTCTACGTCTGAGTAATGCTTTATTGATCCGTTTGACACGCAACCAGCGGTTTTAAATACGTAATAGTCGCATTTCCACAAAACACAAGAGAATTACGCGGAAATGTGATTTTAAATTGCATGGTTAAAGAGTTAAGAGAGTTGGTTGATGAAAGCTAAGTATGATGTTTTGAAAACCCCCTACTTTTGTTTTTTGTGGGAATATTGGGTTGCTTAGGCTTTGGTTCTCAGTGAGTTAAAAAAAGCATGCTGTATGTGTGAGGTGGGGGTTCAATGCGATGTGGCAGTTTGAAAGCTTCAACAAGAAATGAACAGACTTGGGCATTCTGTAAGTTGATTTGATATCATGGTGGACTACAGAGCAAACAACCCTGGTTTGAAACCCAGACTAGGCATTCTTGAACTGGAGTTGTTTTGTATTTTCGAAGGCTCTCAATCCATCTGGCTCGGTCCAATCGGAGATGGGCATTAAATTGTACAGCCTCTAGTTTAGTTTAGTATGTGGTTTTACGGTGCTCGCAACTGCTTAAGGTCATATGAGCACGTACGGCCTCTAAGCACCCTAACTGTAAATGGGATGTTAAACCCATACACTTACTTACTAAAACTTACTTACTCTACTGAACTGGCTTTTTGGTTTCAATTCATGAAGAGTTGACTACTACAGTTTACTGCTGAAAGTTTCATAATTGATTTAGACCTGATTAATTTAATCTTTTCTCTTGTTTCAGATGAATGGGATTACATTCTCACATTGGAAGACAAAAAGTCAGCATAAAATTCTTCACACTGAATGAGCACTGATGTATTGGGCTAGACCTCAAATTTAAGCTAAAAAACCATGCTTTTTCCAGTTGGGAAAAGATTGTATTTTGTTACTTGAATGTTGGAAAAAAAATCATGTTACTTGTTTGTAGAAAAAAAATTATCTTATACTTGTTTGTCGGAAAAAAATATATTTTGCGATTTTTTTCTCTGAAGAAGAGAAATATGTATCTTGTAAGTTGATTGTTGGCATATATGTGAGGCATCATGGTAAAATCAGGCTCTTGTCAAAATAATTAAACTAAAGAAAATGGCATTTTCTGCCGGTTTGGCAATTTTTATCGCTTTTTGTTGTTGTTTTTTTTGGCTCAACATCATTGTTGTCCAATTAAGAACACATTTCTGGGTTGATTAAAGACACAACAATTGTAAATTTTCAGTTTCCAAGGACTCTCAAGCTTTGAAAGTCACCAAACTTTGGCGGTCATTTTCTATCTAATTTTGAGTCTGAAACCAGGTGACCCCCACCTATTTCAATTCAAAATATCTCAACTTCTATTTAAGATAGAATGGTAATTTTTTCATTGAAAGCAAGACAAATGAACAAGTTTTGAGATTATACCAGTCGCTGCACATGCCCAAGAATTGATGAGCGCCTGATTCCTCCGCATCGTAACACATAGATTGATCTTGGAGCTGATGATTGTATTTTTCAGGGATCTTTTCTGATGCATCATTGTTAGGCTTGCATGACTTGAAAGTTGGTACTGTACCATTCTTCCGCAAAATTCTTTTACTTTTAGGGTATTTGAAGTTCTTAAGGAATTTTAACATTAAAAGAGACACTAGCACAGGTTCTGTCTTTAGTGTTATTGACAAATCCTGTCATACACATCGTAGAGGCAAATTACATATATATGACGACTAAACTACTTTAGGCAACTGTGTTTTATCCTCAATTGGCTTAGAAAAATAATTATTGTTATCTGTCATGTTATTTTTCAATTTTTATTCATTTTGATTTTGATGATGGTGATCACTTTAAATTCTGCTGAAAAGCATAGCACTGACAATTTTTATAAACTGATCTTTTGTAAATAATGTAAACTGCATTCTTTTGTGACATGTTTTTAAAGTGTTTTAATATTTTAGAATACGTTTGTGAGGCATCGTGGTGGAATCAAGCACTCGTCAAAATGAAATCTGAGAAATCGTCATATTTTGGCCAGTTTGGACATTTTTTTCAAATTTGGTTTTTGCTCACTGCCTGCCCACTGAAAAACATTTTTATGTGTGGATTCTATGGAAAAACATTGATTAAAGGCACAAAAAATGTAATTTTGCAGTTTTCAAAGACTCTTAAGCTGTGGAAGTCACCAGACTTTGGCGGCCATTTTCTCACAAATTTTACTTCTGAAACTAGGCGACTTGACCTCCTTCAGTCGCAAATATCTCCACTTCTATTTTAGATTAATGGATATTTTTTTCATCAAAGGCAAGGCATGTGAATAACCTTTTAGATAACACCAATAACCTCACATGTCCAAAAATTGATGAGCGCCTGATTCCACCGTGTTGCATCACATTTGGTTATTCAGACATTGTATTTCATAAATATCCTTGTGGTCTTTGGGGGAAAAAAAGGTTCAATTTTTTCGTGGCCAGGTTATGTGCATTCCTAATGTCAGAACTGATTTTCGGCTAAGCTCATTGGCCAGGACAGTAGTCTAATATTAGTTTCAGTGTGAGTTGACTTGCTGTCTGGTTCTGGCCCACTCAGGACATTTTCTGATCCGGGGTCTTCAACTGTGTAACGTTCCTCACCTACCCCATCCCCATTTTTCCTAAAAATCCCCATACTTTGAACGACTTGCAAATCTAAGTCAAGTCTAATGTGAAATTTGCTGCCTTTTTAAAATCATTTTGGTGTTAACATTTCGAGAAAACACATTTTCAAGACCAGACCTGTGTTAATCGACATCACTTAAACAAGCCTGGCAGTAAAGACCCCTTCTTTTGATGTTTTATAAACCTCTACCTATTTTGTCTCTATTTTTAAAATATTTTTCCAGACACCACCTTCTTGTTCCTTTGTCTTCAGTTTCATTTACACATCATGTATACTTTATTTGATAAAATATGTCTGGTTACTGGCCTCTTCTAACATCACCTTCAACCAGTCACAACAATACAATTACAATACAGTTCTGGCACAGTCATGGAAACCCTTCCCTCTCTGTCATGGAAAGAGTGAAGATTCATTGTGTTTTTTCTCCTACAAATGTTTGAAAAAAAACCCATCCTTGTGCTGCACCTTTGAACAATGTAATTGTACAGCAGGGGGTTTTAAAGTTAAAGCCACTGATTTTGTTCCCCAGGAATTGCAACAAAGGTTCGTTTGTCCATTTAAAAAAAATCTGAACTCTAGGGGTTTTTTGGGGTTGTTGGGGGGGTTTTTTTTGGTCTTTTGAGGGGGGGGGGTGTTGTACTTTTTCCTTTTTCTGCCCTGTCCTTTTGGGATGTTCTTTGACTATTAGATTCTTCTTCCTCCATGATCTAATGTTTCATTGCCTATTCTGTTGAAATCAAGGCGATTCTGGTCTGGTTGCGATACTTTCTTTTTTTTAGTTTGAGAACATCATTGAGATTGTGACGCTTTAACCAAATGAGCCTTTACTAATGGGGAAAAATATTCTTATTGACATAGGCCTGTATATTATATGGTTTTGGTTGTTTGTGTTAGCAGACTGGATACTGTCATGTTTTTATATTCTTGATTATTTTCAATATACAGTATTCTTCTGTTACTTATAATCATGTTGTAATTTGCTTTTAAAGATCATTATTTTCAGAAATGTTTATACTGAGGAGGTGAACGAAGATATTATTCTTGTTACATGTCTCGTTGACATTGAAATCTCAGGAAATAAAAGTATTATATTGGTAGCTAATAATAGACCTGTGTAGTTACAATTTATTTGCTCTCAAGATTCATGTTTCTACTAATTTTTTTTTATTGCATCAGAAAAAAAATGTGCGGCATGCTGACCAAGTCGGTTACTTCTCGCAATCCATGAAAGGAGATATGATCTAGATCATATTCTACAGAAAATCGACATGGGGTCAAATTTGTACACATTTTCAGTTGAAGCCAATTACACAAGTTTAGGTTACCTTTAATTATTTCTACTTATAAATTGTACAAACTCCACCTATGAATTTGATAGACGTCTATCCATTGGGCTAAAAATCCAAGAAGTCACTTTATGGCTAGCTGGCTGTGATTGGGACAGACAAGTTTGAAACAGTTTTCCGAGTGATCTGTACCTTGTCGATTTGGATGTAAAACTAAGAGCACTCAGACTGATACGGGATAGAGTGCTCTATATAAATGCAATCTATTGTTTTCATCAAATTAATTCTATCACAGTCATTCAATGTTTCATGAGAAAGAAGTGTTCATCAAATATGACCGTAGTTCGTGAGGTGTGGCAATTTTGAGGATTCTCAGATTGATAGAAACCCCTTTTGTTCATTATAACTTGTCTGTCATCTAATTTCCTCTCTTTTTTCACTCCTACTCTTCTTCCTCCTCATCATCTTCAGCTGTTGCTTTCACCATTTCACCAGTATGAATGTAATTTGTTTGCCCCCAGTGTCTTTACTTTATCTTTACAACAGCTCGCCGCTAGATCCAACAGCTGACGTTTCTTTTTCGAAGATGCCCTTTTTTATTCTTTATTGTGCTTGTCCAGGTCTCTTTGGTTTGGGGATAGGTTTACGTTTCATGTATAGATCTACATTTTGCTTGGCCTGGGTGTTAAGTTAATCCAGGACTGACTGCGTACCTTGTAGTGAGAAGAATTACTAATCAGGCTGACATTCTGCCTAAGTATTGTAAATTGTTACTTGTAAGGTAAGACTAAAGAGTAAGAGGCGACTAAAACTGAAAGGTTCCACAGTTTGGTTCCTGACGTGAGTCACCAGGTCCTTCAGGTTGAGGGGGAGGGGAGGGGAGGCTCAGAGATAACATCCGGGGGCTCTCGTGGTCGAGAGGTTATGGTGTTTGCCTCTCATTCAATAGGTCCTGGGTTCGAATCTGGACGTCAACGGAAACTATTTTTCTCTAAAATGTTCTCATTTCACCCCCTTTCCTGCTCTCTAACCATGTTCTGTCGTCTGCTTTCTTCTCCACTTCCTGTCCCTTCCCCTGGGCTCCTGACTCTTTCTAAAGCCGTTATAATACATGTACAGTGGAAACCTGATGTAACAGGGATAGTGGGAGTAGAGAAAATGTCCTGTTGTTATATTCGATCCCTGTTAAATCAGAAATGCAAGGAAAGTTAGCATTTGTGGACTAATGAAGCTGTACTTATTTATGGGTAGTTTCCCTTGCCACAAGTACTTGCGAACAGGGGTTTTGGCACCAACTTTCTCCTTGCCTCCTTTAACCACATCGAAGAGCTTGGTCCACAGCATCTGCATCAGGTAGTCTCATCTTCTTTCGATCCAGAGCAAACTTCCCATTGCAGTATGCAGCCACTATCTTCTCTCTATACTTAATAAATAATGGTGTGAATCGACCCTTGTGGAATGTCGAACTGACAACAAATCTCTGCCAGTGGAGCTTGCTTTTTGTCAACAGCCTGGATTATTTCGTGTGTTTTTTTTCTCAATTGAAAGGCATTTTCTCTTGCGATTGACATCGTTGGTGACACATTACGCAAACGTGTTGCTAGGTTTCGGGCTAGATCGAGGTCTGCAGCACACGGAAGCCCTCTCTCGCTTCACAAGCTGCGTGTGCTTGCTGTGGCATGGCTTGCGTGGGCTTGCTCCATCACTGCGTTACTCTCTCTCTCTCTCTCTCTCTCTCTCTCTCTCTCTCTCTCTCTCTCTCTCTCTCTCTCTCTCTCTCTCTCTCTCTCTCTGTCTGTCTGTCTCTCTCTCTCTCTCTCTCTCTCTCTCTCTCTCTCTCTCTCTCTCTCTCTCTCTCTCCCTCCCTCTGTCTGTCTGTCTCTCTCTTCTCTCTCTCTCTCTCTCTCTCTCTCTCTCTCTCTCTCTCTCTCTCTCTCTCACACACACACACACACACACATTTTTTACACATTGTTAACGAGCCTTTGTCCGTGCTATAAGCGGCTGGGCTCCGATGAGGCCCTGTTATTGCCGATTACTTTTAATAAAGACAAACAGTAGGAAAAAAAACGGGGATTTAAAAAAATCCCTGTTATTACCGGATCCCTGTTATTGCCGGGCCTGTTATAATATATGGTTTCCACTGTAATTATACTGCTACTCCTTGGCTCCTTACTGCTGTTTTTCACTTTCAGCAACGCCCCAGATCTTTTCTTATGGTAAGAAAGATCTACACTTACCCTTCTTGGATAAGGGCGAAAAGTCAAGTCAAGGAGCTCCCTTGTGCAAGTTGCGCACGTTAAAGATCCCTTGGTGGTTCTAAAATCGCCCCCCCCCCCAAAAAAAAAAAAAGAGTGGGCGTCGGCCGCCACCCGGGCAAAATTCAAAATCCCTACCAAACTACCGAACTGAGAATGTTGAATGTGTTCCGCGCGCTTAGATCTAGATGTTCATGACTATGATAGTTGCGAGAGCCGGGAAACGCTTAAAACAACTTAAAACAATTATTTTTTTTAAAGCAATATTCTCGCTACTGAAAGACAAAGAGCTCTTGTTTGTGTCTATACTCTGGGAAGTGATGAGAAAGGCTGATGACGATGACCAAGACCTGGATAGGCCTGCACATGTGAACTATGTGGTGCAGCGATTAGGTGTTTCACAGCTGTGTGCAGTGTGCAGTGTGCAGAAGAAGAGGGAATGTCCTCCCTTTGGCCATTCCCAAGGGGGGGGGGGGGGGTACATGTTCTTATGCACAGTAGAATTGTAAATGGGCTGATTCATCAATGTCATGGCATAACTGCCTGAACTGCTACAGGGAACTGCTGCTTTTTTTCTTCCCTAATCTTTACTATCGTCATTTTACCTCTACTTCTTTTTTTTTTGTTCAATGTATCGATCCGTGTTTGTCAAAGTCTTGTGACCCGCTATTTCCGGTTTGCGTTGGTAGTCGGAGCAGACTTTATGCTGTTGAAGCTAGAGAGGTGAGCGGGTGGTTGGCGGGTGCTCTGGTGTGGTTTGCTCCTTCTTTCCTCTATCCAAACATCTGTCATCCTGATCTCCCCTCCTTCTTTTTGTGTATGTTACTCCCTTGTAACACGTAATCTATTCTTCGGCACATGACCTTATTGTTTTGCAAGTGCCGTAAAACCCTTACTAAAACTAAAAAGAGAGGTGAGCAGTGTAAGCCTGATTCCCTGCAGATTTTTCTGTTGACATCCACCCCTTCGCGCTCATTTGACCTGATGCAGTTGCGAGCGCCGCAAACCTCCACTAAAACTAAAACAAGCAGAAGAAAACACGAAGCCGAGTTCTAGTCTTGTATGGGGAGAATTGTTGAGTAGCGCAGTCTTTCTGTTGGGATGTAAGCCTACGTCTACTCTCTTTCAGCTCAGGCTGGCAAGTAGGGTCTAAGGAACCCGCCTTCTAATTTCTAAATGAACTAAATTATGTCGATCGAGGCGTCGAACAAGTTGGCGTACAATTTTTAAACTACATTCACATCAACAGCATGAGCATGGTATGATATTAGCTCCGGCCAGAATCAGACTACAGTACATTGTACATGTAGTCTATCTATAGCTTACCATGTGTCATAAATAGTAAACATGTTATTGCCCTTGTCATCAGTCAAAGGAAATTGTTATTACTTGAGCCAAGAAAAGACAAGAAATCGGGAAGTTGTTTCGTTTGTTTGTTTTGGGTTGTTGTTGTTGTTTTTTCAATTTACTCGAGACAATGATCGATTGCATGGTGAAGGTGTCATGTTTTAGAGGCGTGGTCTGCAACTCCTACAGGAGCCGAGTTGGTCTTCATGTACATGTACTGTAGTTAGTAAATTAGTAAAGTTAAGAGACCCTGAGAACTCCCAAAAACAACCCAGGTTCAAGTGCACCCCAAACGAGGATTCGAAAAGGAGTCATCCATACGGACATCCAGTGCATGGTACCAAGTGACTAAAAATGTCTTACTGACACCCATTGTCGTAGCATGTTGAGACATATACGTGCACACGGATGCTTTTGAGATGAATTTATTTTCTTGTATAAAAAAAAAAAGAAAAAAAGTAGATGTGCATATTTTTGTGCCCTGAGTCGTACATTGACATGGGTTTGTTTATTTTGTTGTTGTTTTTAAATACTGTAATAAAAGTCACAATTTGAAATTTCCAAAAGCAAACATATTTCAGCTACCAGAGAATGTACATTATAATTGTAGTACACAATGAATAATTTAAAGAGAATGAAATGTTTTATGGAATGTGATATTTAATGGAAATCTTACCTTCTCTATCTCCATATGCAGGACTTCACAATGACACACCCCCCCCCCCCCAATCCCCCCCCCCCCCCCAATTTTTAAAGCCTCTCATCCGTGTAAACGTCTTAATGACACTGAGTGCCGACACGCTAACCATGATGGCCAAAATCGATTTACACTGAGAAGTGGGGAGATCGGCGCCTTCACATTTTCATTATAAAAATAAAAGAAAGAGCGAGCTACATTGTTTGTTGTAAAAAATTGAGATCATTTGACACAAATCAATGTCAGTATTGGGAGTTTTTACTTTTACTTAATGCTGGTCATAGTCATTGTCCAGAGAGTACACTGCGGTTTACAGTCGGTGCCACATGAGAACATTTCAAAGCTATTGAAATTGAACCAAAACTCTGTGTTTGTTTGGTTCCGGTTTAATTTTAAAACTAATATTTTAAAAAACCCATCTTGTGATCTCTTTTACTTTTGCAAACCAGCAAAAATCACTTTATTACATTACATTGTATTGCTCTTACACTTCTTCTAAAATACGACCGAGAGAGAAAGAGAATCTGGATACAAATACATGTACAAGCATATATATATATATTATATTATATTATAAAAATTACACCCCAACATATATATATAGATACTTTGGGGGGGGGGGGGGGGGTACGTGCAACATTTTTAACACTCGTTCTGTTTGTTGAGACTGGTTCTTGGAAGCTTTCTATCATGTACATAGGTTACGAAGGCGGGACTCTCGTGGTAGGCCAACGTATTGTTATACATGTACATGTAAAGTCACCAGACATGTTTAAATTCCACATTGAAGCCCGCGTCCGGTTTGGAATCCGAGGACCCTCTGACATTTCCAGACACAGTGAAAGTTGTGTCTTTGTCCAGGTGGAACTGCCGGCCCACGCTCCCGCTGTATACTTGGTGGTCTTGGTTGCCATGCACCGCCATGTTGGCAACTGTTTCATGCCTCTGCCTGTGACCCGAAACACATTGTGATAATGGACTGTAAATCACTTTATATTACATATATTTCAAATAAACCAGGTTGGTTAGTACATGGACTAGAGTTCGTGGCAGTGATTGCCCCCACCTGAACGAACGGGGACTGCGTGTGTCCACAGTGGGGACGCTGAACTTCAAGGGTAACTTAAGAGCGATAACATAGAGAACGCCTAAACTTAAGCGGCTGAAGATCGACGCGGACAGGCGCCAGTAGGTGTCTGCGTGACTCCACATAGAGGGCGCCTAAAGCCTAGATCTAGATATCACTTTATCAGGAAAAAAATTACACCCCAACATTTTATGAAGCATTTATTTGGGGATTTAAAAACTCGAAATTCCTAATATATAGCTTAAAATGTAATTCTGCTCGGTTGCCACTCTAATTTGACGACGCTGATTTAAAAATGTAATTAGTTTTTGTCTACCGTGAAGCACCAGCTCTGAAATGGACTTTTAAAAGTGTCCCCTGTTCAGTCGGGTGACGTCATGCAAACCGCTCTACCCGAGTTGGCGACGGCGAGACGGCATGAGTTCGCGACCTAAGTGCTTTCTTGTCGCATCTCCATTTTTAATAACAGTGAAAGCAGTTCTCAACAAAGAGTGAGCTTAAAAAGAAGTCACATTTTTACTGTTTAAAAAATGGAGATAGGACAAGAACGCTCTGAGGTTGCGACTTGACTGCGAGACGCCCTTCCCAGTTTTTCGGCGTAATAATGTAGTTTGGATTCCGATAAAGCCGACAACGCCGATCCGAGCTTAAGAGCCGCCTGCAGTCTGCCAGCTCTATGTGGGGCAAGTTGGAAATCATAAGGGGATTGTTATACATGTACCTATCAGCGCTTACTAAGCCAGTCTCCGAAATCGGCGTTCTCAATGTTTTCGCCCGCGCCTAGACATGCTCAGCTCAACAGACGAGACTCACCCGGAGGCGTCTCTGCGGTCTTTGGACGAAACCCACTCAAGCTTGTATTGATATAAGGGGACAGGGTGGTGTTATACTAGAGCTCGTTGGGAGCGGGATGGGGGCTCAGATTGTTCATGTAAATATGGGTGCACGTCGGCCATACCGATGAGGGTAAGCAGAAAGCCGCCATGTCTGACACATGTGACGTCACTGCTGCGAGCTCAAGTAAATGACCTCTATGAATTCAAATACATTGTATTTTAAAAGATCAAAAATCTAATAAGCATTAAATAGAAAAGATTGTTGGTTTATTTTTTAAAGAAAAAAATTCTTAATTAATTTTTACATAAACAACAAGATTAAAAATATTTAGGCCTGTAGGCCTATATCATGTGTATTGTAGGCTGTGTACAAATGTTAAGTCTGATCGTTTTTAATACTCTGATAACTTTACACATTTTTACCAACTGTCCAACATGTTGGAGC